AACAAAATGCTGTGTGAAGAGGTTTGAACTTGACTGAAGGATGCCACCTGTTGTTAAAAACATTGACCTGCATGGTTAGGAATTGGTTTATGAGGGCCACAGTACTTACAAGGGTTTTGGATAGCTTGCACTCTGCCATGCCATTGAAAAGCAACTGTCTGTCACACCATTAAACCCATATAGAATTATATTTGCAACTCAGTTCCAAATATAAAAGCCTTGCTTAGTCCTTAATTCAGTCTCTGTATTTTTCGCACTTAATCAACCCTTTGATCAACAGTTTATATTTGTTTTATCTCTGGACTCCCTTCTGCATGTTATGAGGGTTGAGCTCTGTCTGGATGACTGACTAGAGGAAACTCACCTTCACCTCTGACATCCTGTTTTGATTCTTTACTAAAACAGCCCCCCTCCCTTTTGAATACCTGTAAAGCCCGTCTCTGACTCTCACACAGACATTCATAAACCTGCAGTAATGCCACACATTTGCAAGCAATTGCAGTGTGATTTTAAAAAAACGATTGAAGGATGTTTTAGCACCATGTATTATGTAGGGTATTTCAGCATAATAGCCTTCTGGCAACTGGATTTGTGTTGACTTTAGCCTCAGAAATGCTCTATTTCCTGAAGCAATGTTACTGTTGGAGTTTTACTGGGTTTCACTCCATTACTTTTTAGAGTACCTGACAAAATAGTATCACACAAGGAACCTCTGATATTTCCGTAAAAATTTAAATTCCCTGATGTACAAGGTGTCAAATCTCACAAGACTTGTCTCAGCTGCTGTCATTGAAGGAAATACTGCCAAGAGAACTGTTCATTAAAAAAAATTATTTGTAACTTTTGGAATCAATCAATTCTTTGTGTTATTGAATACTTGATCCATGTCAACCCTGTTTGAATGGTGCAATGGTACCCTATTCCAGCTGGCATTGTTAGTCTCCCACATCAGTTTCTGACTATAGAACAGCAAACAGAAACAGCACCAAACTGTAAATTACATTTATGTATCCTGTTACCAAGGGATCCCTGTTGAGATCGAACTATCATCATATTATTCTTATTTATTCAAATTTGCAAGCCCACTGTAATGACTACTGTTGTATTTTTCATATATACAACTGTGCAACTGATATCAAGCTGGAAAATATCAGAATCTTAGGAACAGCTTTACCAGACAAAATTGATCAAGAGCTCAGAAACTGAACACAAAAAAACAGCATACACACTAGACTAGTGTCCAGACAAAACATCTGAGACAAAGGACAGTATTAGGGCATAGCACCAATCCGGGTGTTTGGGAAGACAACCAGGCTTTCTTGAATCACTAATGGTTTCAAAGCACTTCAACCTGTGTGTCTGTTCATGTGACAACTCCGAATAAAGCTAACAACCAATAGTGAAATCCATTACAGCCAGATGTTTATAAAGGAGATTGTGTGGGGCGGCAGGTAGCTTAGTGGTTAAGAGTGTTGTGCCAGTAACCGAAAGGTCGCTGGTCCTAATCCACGAGGCGACTAGGTGAAAAATCTGTCAATGTGCCCTTGAGCAAGGCACTAAACCCTAATTGATCCTGTAAGTTGCTCTGGATAACAGCGTCTGATAAATGTGTCTTTAAGAGGACAATCATTTTCTTATGTCATAGGAGGGCTTTTTCCTCCCAGCCACCTTGTCAGCATATACAGTACCAGTCAAACGTTTGGACACACCTACTCATTTAAAGGTTTCCTTTATTTTTTTACTATTTTCTACATTGTAGAATAATAGTGAAGACATCAAAACTATGAAATAACACACAGTGGCTTGCGAAAGTATTCACCCCCTTGGCATTTTCCTATTTTGTTGCCTTACAACCTGGAATTAAAATGGATTTTGGAGATGCAAAATATTTTTTCTTGTGAAACAAACAAGAAATAACAACAAAAAACAGAAAACTTGAGCGTGCATAACTATTCACCCCCCCAAAGTCAATACTTTGTAGAGCCACCTTTTGCAGCAATTATAGCTGCAAGTCTCTTGGGGTATGTCTCTATAAGCTTGGCACATCTAGCCACTGGGATTTTTGCCCATTCTTCAAGGCAAAACTGCTCCAGCTCCTTCAAGTTGGATGGGTTCCGCTGGTGTACAGCAATCTTCAAGTCATACCACAGATTCTCAATTGGATTGAGGTCTGGGCTTTGACTAGGCCATTCCAAGACATTTAAATGTTTCCCCTTAAATCACTTGAGTGTTGCTTTAGCAGTATGCTTAGGGTCATTGTCCTGCTGGAGGGTGAACCTCCGTCCCAGTCTCAAATCTCTGGAAGACTGAAACAGGTTTCTCTCAAGAATTTCCCTGTATTTAGCACCATCCCCATCATTCCTTCAATTCTGACCAGTTTCCCAGTCCCTGCCGATGAAAAACCTACCCACGGCATGATGCTGCCACCACCATGCTTCAATGCTTCTTCCGTAAAGCCCAGCTCTGTGGAGTGTACGGCTTAAAGTGGTCCTATGGACAGATACTCCAATCTCCGCTGTGGAGCTTTGCAGCTCCTTCAGGGTTATCTTTGTTGCCTCTCTGATTAATGCCTTCCTTGCCTGGTCCCTGAGTTTTGGTGGGCGGCCCTCTCTTGGCAGGTTTGTTGTGGTGCCATATTCTTTCAATTTTTTAATAATGGATTTAATGGTGCTCCGTGGGATGTTCAAAGTTTCTGATATTTTTTTTATAATCCAACCCTGATCTGCACTTCTCCACAACTTTGTCCCTGACCTGTTTGGAGAGCTCCTTGGTCTTCATGGTGCCACTTGCTTGGTGGTGCCCCTTGCTTAGTGGTGTTGCAGACTCTGGGGCCTTACAGAACAGGTGTGTATATATACTGATATCATATGACAGATCATGTGACACTTAGATTGCACACAGGTGGACTTTATTTAACTAATTATGTGACTTCTGAAGGTAATTGGTTGCACCAGATCTTAATTAGGGGCTTCATAGCAAAGGGGGTGAATACATATGCACGCACCACTTTTCCGTTATTTATTTTTTTGAATTTTTTGAAACAAGCTATCTTTTTCATTTCACTTCACAAATGTGGACTATTTTGTGTATGTCCATTAGATGAAATCCAAATAAAAATCAATTTAAATTACAGGTTGTAATGCAACAAAATAGGAAAAACGCCAAGGGGGATGAATACTTTTGCAAGGCACTGTATGGAATCATGTAGTAACCAAAAAAGTGTTAAACAAATCAAAATATATTTTATATTTGAGATTCTTCAAATATTCACCCTTTGCCTTTATGACAGCTTTGCACACTCTTGGCATTCTCTTAACCAGCTTCACCTGGAATGCTTTTCAAACAGTCTTGAAGGAGTTCCCACATATGCTGAGCACTTGTTGGCTGCTTTTCCTTCACTCTGCCGTCCGACTCATCCCAAACCATCTCAATTGGGTTGAGGTTGGGGGATTGTGGAGGCCAGGTCATCTGATGCAGCACCCCATCACTATCCTTCTTGGTAAAATAGCCCTTACTCAGCCTGGAGGTGTAGTGGGTCATTGTCCTGTTGAAAAACAAATGAGTGTGCCTTGAATTCTAAATAAATCACAGACAGTGTCACCAGCAAAGCACCTCCACACCATAACACCTCCTCCTCCATGCTTTACGGTGGGAACTACACATGCGGAGATCATCCGTTCACCCACACCGCGTCTCACAACGACAGGGTGGTTGGAACCAAAGATCTCCAATTTGGACTCCAGACCAAAGGACACATTTCCACCGGTCTAATGTCCATTGCTTGTGTTTCTTGGCCCAAGCAGGTCTCTTCTTCTTATTGGTGTCCTTTAGTAGTGGTTTCTTTGCAGCAATTCGACCATTCACACAGTCTCCTCTGAACAGTTGATGTTGAGATGTGTCTGTGACTTGAACTCTGTGAAGCATTTATTTGGGCTGCAATTTCTGAGGCTGGTAACTCTAATGAACTTATCCTCTGCAGCAGAGATAACTCTGGGTCTTCCATTCCTCTGGTGGTCCTCATAAGAGCCAGTTTCATCATAGCGCTTGATGGTTTTTGCGACTGCACTTGAATAAACTTTCAAAGTTCTTGAAATGTTCCAGACTGACTGACCTTCATGTCTTAAAGTAATGATGGACGGTCGTTTCTCTTTGCTTATTTGAGCTGTTCTTGCCATAATATGGACTTGGTATTTTACCAAATAGGGCTATCTTTTGTATAACCCCCCCCCCCCCCCCCCCCCCCCCCCCCACTCCCACCCTGTCACAACACAACTGATTGGCTCAAACGCATTAAGAAGGAAATACATTTAAGAAGGCACACCTGTTAACTGAAATGCATTCCAGGTGACTACCTCATGAAGCTGGTTGAGAGCATGCCAAGAGTGTGCAAAGCTGTCATCAAGGCAAAGGGTGGATATTTGAATAATCTCAAATATAAAATGACTTTTTTGGTTACTACATGATTCCATATGTGTGTTATTTCATAGTTTTGATGTCTTCACTATTATTCTACAATGTAGTAAAAATAAAGAAAGACCCTTGAATGAGTAGGTGTGTCCAAACTTTTGACTGGTACTGTACATCTAATAATATTGCTTTTTTCAATACAGGGGAGAAGGAATCTATGGACATTACCTTACAAGCCCCTAGTATCCCATTGCAGCGTATAGAGGCACTTAAAAGTGGGTGTGTGCATCAATGAAAACCCTGTGTAAAGAGGCCCCCCTTTCAATCGGAACCTCCTGAACTCTGAACTCTGACCCTCCCCTCAGGTCAGTTAGGGATCATGTTCATTAGGGCACACCGTTTTAAACACATTTTAAACATTTTGCAACGGAAAAAGAAAACAAGCGCTTCTTCCTGGACAAGTTCAGATAGTACCTCCCCGTTTGACTCTGTTTAGAGCATTTTCTTCCGTTTTGTGCCTACTGAAATCGACCCAGCAGGTCATCTCACTCCAGGGTGGGCTTGATGAGGTATCCGTTGAAGGTGATGTACACATCCACATCGTCGCTATACACAGCGTTCTCCCTCTCCCTCTTGTACAGCCGGACCCACACCTCGTCGTTGAGCTCAAGGGGCAACATAAGGCTCTGGCTCTGCATGATGGACCTCTCGCTGGGCTGGGCGTACACGATGGCCTGCTCCTTGTCATTCCTCATGATGTGCAGGTAGGTCTCCTTAAAGTTCCAGGTGTGGATGTTGACGTTGAAGAAGTAGATCCCAGGGACGTAGCAGTAGAACTTTCCTTTGAACATGTCGAAGTGGCCGTGGAGGTTGACGAACTCTGTGTCGAACACCAGGGCCTGGTAATAGTCCACGCTGTGGAGGGACTTGCGACGCCCCACCGAGAAGGCTGCGTCCTGGGTCTTGCAGGGGTCCCCTGGGGGGCCCGCCTGGCCCTTGGTTCCTTTGGGGCCCATTGGCCCTCGGGATCCAGGAGCGCCTTCCTCACCAGACTTCCCAGGTGTCCCCCTGTCCCCGCGGATTCCCTTGTCCCCTGTGAGGCAAGATGGAAAATATACAGCACGAGTCATTAGAGAGCTATGACACAGTAATGTAGACTAAAGGTCCAAATGGGGTAATGTTGAGATTAAAGTTAGTATAACATGGATCATGGAAGACTTTGTGTAGATAGATTGTTTATGATTTTCTCAAGTCCAGACAGGAATGTTACGTAAACTTGGAGTCACTCCAGAGTTCTCATAATTGTAGCCCATTCAGTATATGATAATTTAGGGTTCTGGAATTCTGCTTATCTTCAACAGGATATTTCTTTCTGCTGCTTTATTTTTGGAAAGCCACAGCATGTTTTTCCAAGCCAGGTCACGCTCTCTGGTGAGCACACAAACACACACAAACTGTTACGTTATTGGTCATGTATTCTGCCACATAAGCAAGTTCAATGCCAGGTTAATGTTCTGAAATAGCAGCAGACTTTCTAGCCTCCAGTCTGGAGAAAAAATTAAAGGCATTCCTTCAATGAAAAGTTCAGTTTGAAACACAACAGCCTCATTAAGTCCAGGGGCAGCCCTTCACCTCTGGTGAATCACATGTACACCGAGCCAATCTCAATGTCTAGAATCGTACAAAGTCTCTTAAATGTGTCAAATGCGAGCAGGGCCTAACTCTATAGGAATTTAGAGGTCCAATTGAGTAGAGCCATGGATTGGAATACACATACTCATAATCCAATCAAATGGAATTCAGTCAGATCTGGTCCCAGATCTCTTTGTGCTGTTTTGCCAATTGTTTTGTCTTTGGCATGACAACCACCATAGGAGTTGGCAAAACACCACAAAGAGACCAAGGATCAAGCTATGTGTATTGCAGGTGTAAAGGCACAATCCAGGCGCACCTTTGAGGATGGTCATGTTGATGAAGGTGCGGACTTCAGGCATCTGGTTCAGGCCACTCTTTTGGTCCCCCGTCTGAGGAGCTGGAGGGCCCTCCTGTGGCTCCAGGTCGTCACAGCAGCGGCGGCAGGGGGCAGGAGAGGCACCTCCGGGGGGCGGGACAGGGATGACCAGGGGGAGGAACAGGAGGACGGGGCTCAGGAGGTGGAGGCGGTCAAACATGGCTGCTGCACCTGAGAGGACAAGGAAGGTCAACAGACAGATTAGACACAACCTTTGACCTTTTGAACCTTAAAGGGATAGTTCACCCACCTGTAAGTGCTTTAAATCTTTGGACAACGAGAGTTATTTGAGTGTATTAAATCCAAGATCGGCTTATACCAAGGTCCCATTGACAGTGATGTTTGTTACTATGAACATGAAGGTACAGTTGTAAATTGGTCCTAGATAAAGCATTCATTGTGGAGAGAAATAGCATTTAATTCCAGCATCATATCAGATTCTACATTGTTGTCTATTACATGACTCAAATAGTATGGGCTCGATTCAATCCGTAGCGCTGAAGAGCTGCGCTACTGCGCAATAGAAATGTAAAGGCAATGTTCCCGTGTTAGCAGAGACTGCATTCATTTGACTCCCGAGTGGCGCGGTGGTCTAAGGCACTGCATTGCAGTGCTAGCTGTGCCACTATAGATCCTGGTTCGAGTCCAGGCTCTGTCGCAGCCAGCCGCAACCGGGAGACCCATGGGCGGCGCACAATTGGTCCAGCATCATCCAAGGTAGGGGATTGGCCGGCAGGGATGTGGGTTAGTTTCCCACGGGAGGCCAGTATGAAAAAAATATATATGCATTCACTAACTGTAAGTCGCTCTGGATAAGAGCGTCTGCTAAATGACTAAAATGTCATGGTAAACGCAGCATATGTAGGCTCAATCAGAAATTACCTTTACATTTAAATCATGCTATAGTGCTGAACTTCGGCGATACAGATTGAATCGAGCCCTAAGAAAAAACAAGTATGACAAAGAGGTATTCATGTTATACCATGAGTAGGGTACATTAGACTATAATGCACCTGTTCCCAAACTAGGGGTCGCGACCAGGGTTTTTCTTTATTTTTACTATTTTCTACATTGTAGAATAATAGTGAAGACATCAAAACTATGAAATAACACATATGGAATCATGTAGTAACAAAAACGGGTTAAACAAATTATATATATATATATTTTATATTTGAGATTCTTCAAATAGCCACCCTTTGCCTTGATGACAGCTTTGCACACTCTTGGCATTCTCTCAACCAGCTTCATGAGGTAGTCATCTGGAATGTATTTCAATGAACAGTTAAAAGTCAATTTGTGGAATTTATTTCCTTCTTAATGCGTTTGAGCCAATCAGTTGTGTTGTGAGAAGGTAGGGGGGGTATACAGAAGATAGCCCTATTTGGTAAAAGACCAAGAACAGCTCAAATAAGCAAAGAGAAACTTTAAGACATGAAGTTCAGTCAATTCGGGAACATTTCAAGTAACAGACACATCTCAACATCAACTGTTCAGAGGGGACTGTGTGAATCAGGCCTTCATGGTCGAAGTGCTGCAAAGAAACCACTACCACAATAAGAAGAAGAGACCTGGTTGTGCTGGAGTCCAAATTGGAGATTTTTGGTTCCAACCTGGTTGTGCTGGAGTCCAAATTGGAGATTTTTGGTTCCAACCGCCGTGTCTTTGTGAGACGTGGTGTGGGTGAACAGATGATCTCCGCATGTGTATTTCTCACCGTAAAGCATGGAGGAGGAGGTGTTATGGTGTGGGGGTGCTTTGCTGGTGACACTGTCTGTGATCTATTTAGAATTCAAGGCACACTTAACCAGCATGGCTACCACAGCATTCTTCAGCGATACGCCATCCCATCTGGTTTGCGCTTAGTGGAACTATCATTTGTTTTTACTGGCCGCAATTGATATGGTGAAAACAATACCTTTGTCAGACAACCCTGTGAAACTAAGAATTGACGCTATAAATAGCAATCAAGAGAAAACTCTGACTGAACGACTCAAAAACTCCCCACCTTATGCTCTCCAAATGGATGTTAGCTGTGAGGGCCGAGATGCCCATGCATTGACTTTTGTTCGCTACATGTCGGGAGATGCTATTCATGAGGACATATTGTTCTGTCTCACTATTTCCGAGCATGAATCGGCACAGGGGATGTGCAGTGTGCTGCGTGGCTATATTGACGAAAAACTGATTCCATGGGATCAAATGGCGGGATTTTGCACAGATGGGGCTCCATCTATCACGGGACGGCGGGCAGGCCTCTGCACTCTAGTTATGAATGTTTCTCCCTCTGCCATATGGATGCATTGTATGATACACCCACTGAGCTATAATGGATACACCGAGAGGAACTGGTGGCAAACGAGCTGAACGCAGAACTCGGAGATATGCAGTAGGCAACTTCGATTGCAAACTACATCACACGCCTGTTCGCAAAACTACGTGGAGATATGGGATCAGAGCATGACAATGTTCTATTTCACACCGAGGCTTGGTGGTTATCGAGGGGTAGTGTTGGAAAGATTTTTAGAATTGAGAGAAGAACTGTTGTCATTCACAATGGATGTACAAAAAAAGACTTTGTTGACTTTCTGTGTATTGAAAAGAAAATGTGTCTCCTTGCCTGTGTAACAGACATATTTGGGGAACTGAACGCAAGCATCAAGGGGAAATACAAAACATTTCTACAGATTTACATTTACATTTACATTTACGTCATTTAGCAGACGCTCTTATCCAGAGCGACTTACAAATTGGTGCATTCACCTTATTTTGGGGGTGGGGTAAGGGGGGGGTAGAAGGATTACTTTATCCTATCCCAGGTATTCCTTAAAGAGGTGGGGTTTCAAGTGTCTCCGGAAGGTGGTGAGTGACTCCGCTGTCCTGGCGTCGTGAGGGAGCTTGTTCCACCATTGGGGTGCCAGAGCAGCGAACAGTTTTGACTGGGCTGAGCGGGAACTGTGCTTCCGCAGAGGTAGGGGGGCCAGCAGGCCAGAGGTGGATGAACGCAATGCCCTTGTTTGTGTGTAGGGACTGATCAGAGCCTGAAGGTACGGAGGTGCCGTTCCCCTCACAGCTCCGTAGGCAAGCACCATGGTCTTGTAGCAGATGCGAGCTTCAACTGGAAGCCAGTGGAGTGTGCGGAGGAGCGGGGTGACGTGAGAGAACTTTGTAAGGTTGAACACCAGACGGGCTGCGGCATTCTGGATGAGTTGTAGGGGTTTAATGGCACAGGCAGGGAGCCCAGCCAACAGCGAGTTGAAGTAATCCAGACGGGAGATGACAAGTGCCTGGATTAGGACCTGTGCCGCTTCCTGTGTAAGGCAGGGTCGTACTCTCTGAATGTTGTAGAGCATGAACCTACAGGATCGGGTCACCGCCTTGATGTTAGTGGAGAACGACAGGGTGTTGTCCAGGGTCACGCCAAGGCTCATCGCACTCTGGGAGGAGGACACAACGGAGTTGTCAACCGTGATGGCGAGATCATGGAACGGGCAGTCCTTCCCCGGGAGGAAGAGCAGCTCCGTCTTGCCGAGGTTCAGCTTGAGGTGGTGATCCGTCATCCACACTGATATGTCTGCCAGACATGCAGAGATGCGACTCGCCACCTGGTTATCAGAAGGGGGAAAGGAGAAGATTAGTTGTGTGTCGTCTGCATAGCAATGATAGGAGAGGCCATGTGAGGATATGACAGAGCCAAGTGACTTGGTGTATAGCGAGAATAGGAGAGGGCCTAGAACTGAGCCCTGGGGACACCAGTGGTGAGAGCACGTGGTGCGGAGACAGATTCTCGCCACGCCACTTGGTAGGAGCGACCGGTCAGGTAGGACGCAATCCAAGAGTGAGCCGCGCCGGAGATGCCCAGCTCGGAGAGGGTGGAGAGGAGGATCAGATGAGTGAACAAATCAGCTAAATCCGTTAGACTGTTACCCTGGCTCAGCTGACATGCCGGTAAGTGAAATCGAACAGCTGATTGAGCTGTCATGTGACCTAATGCTGCAGACAAGGAATTCACGGGTCACTATGGAGGAGATTTGGTTCATGACTCAAAGGGAATACTGTGCCGTCTCCCTTGGGGCATTAAAACTCATGGTATGCTGATTCAGTACTCTCGTCTGTATTAAAAACAAATATATATCCAGGTTGGATGTGACAGGAGAGATGAGGTGCGCACTGTCGACCACACCCGTTGACTTTGAGAAGCTCCGACGCGACATGCATCAAGCACGTGGTGGTGAGATAAGGGAAATTATGTCAGACTAATTTGCAATTGACTGTCATAGGCCCACATTAAAAGTATATGATGGTGATTTGAGAATACAATCAGAAATACTGTTAGAATGTTTCAAAATTGACTGCCGTAGCCACAATTAACAAAGTAAACATTGTCTGTTAATTACATAAAACTATTTCACATGGTTGGGGTCGCAAAAATGTTCTGATATCAAAATGTGGTCGTGGGCCTAGAAAGTTTGGGAACCCCCTGCTATAGTGGTTTAATGAATATCCACATGAATAGATGGGGAAAAAAACATTACTGAAATATCAGAGTCTCTGCTTAGCAACTTAACTATTACGTGTCCCACTGCTGTTCCAGGACAGTGGGAAAAAGAGGGGTTTTGGATCCAGAGAAAACATACAGTATATTTGCATAGAGGGGAGCAGGGAAGGTTTAGGAACACGAGCCAGCTATGAACTTTCCATAAGACAACAGTGTTGTTGTCTGGAGCTTCGATTCAAACCATGACCATCATTTGTCGTTTTCTATAATGCCAGCCCTACAGTCTCAGACAGACAGTCCAACACAGGTGTTTTACTAAGGTGCCATTTTAGATCCATAGCTCATTGCAGTGACAGAACATAGGGCCAATGGTCCAATGAAAATCCACAGAAGAAACACTAGTGTGGCTCTCATCCACAAACCAAAAGTATAGCAATGCAATAGTTTCTTCCATAATGTCCCTGAAATAAATGTCCATGATCTGCAGACATCTGAGTGATCTTTATGCTATTTTTCTGGGATTGTCAAATCAAAATCAAATCAAAGTTGATTGTCATATGCACGGGATACAGCATAGTACTCTGTACAATTTAATGCTTCATCTCCGCAAAAAATGTGAACCATGTAAACATGTGAAGTGTACTGAGGTACAGTATCTTGATAGTGTTTTGATTGTACAGGCTAGCTATGGGCCAAATGTTTTGTTACTACAGAAATTACTAAATTGATTTGATCAAATCAAATCAAATCAAATTTTATTGGTCACATGCGCCGAATACAACAGGTGCAGACATTACAGTGAAATGCTTACTTATAGCCCTTAACCAACAGTGCATTTATTTTAAACAAAAAAGTAAGAATAAAACAACAACAAAAAAAGTGTTGAGAAAAAAAGAGCAGAAGTAAAATAAAGTGACAGTAGGGAGGCTATATATACAGTAAAATAAAGTGACAGTAGGGAGGCTATATATACAGGGGGGTACCGTTGCAGAGTCAATGTGCGGGGGCACCGGCTAGTTGAGGTAGTTGAGGTAATATGTACATGTGGGTAGAGTTAAAGTGACTATGCATAAATACTTTCTTAACAGAGTAGCAGCAGCGTAAAAAGGATGGGGTGGGGGGGCAGTGCAAATAGTCCGGGTAGCCATGATTAGCTGTTCAGGAGTCTTATGGCTTGGGGGTAGAAGCTGTTGAGAAGTCTTTTGGACCTAGACTTGGCACTCCGGTACCGCTTGCCGTGCGATAGCAGAGAGAACAGTCAATGACTAGGGTGGCTGGAGTCATTGACAATTTTGAGGGCCTTCCTCTGACACCGCCTGGTATAGAGGTCCTGGATGGCAGGGAGCTTTGCCCCAGTGATGTACTGGGCCGTACGCACTACCCTCTGTAGTGCCTTGCGGTCAGAGGCCAAGCAGTTGCCATACCAGGCGGTGATGCAACCAGTCAGGATGCTCTCGATGGTGCAGCTGTAGAATTTTTTGAGGATCTGAGGACCCATGCCAAATCTTTTTAGTCTCCTGAGGGGGAATTGAGGGAGAGGTTGTTGTCCTGGCACCACACGGCCAGATCTCTGACCTCCTCCCTATAGGCTGTCTCATCGTTGTCGGTGATCAGGCCTACCACTGTTGTGTCGTCGGCAAACTTAATGATGGTGTTGGAGTCGTGCCTGGCCATGCAGTCATGGGTGAACAGAGAGTACAGGAGGGGACTGAGCACGCACCCCTGAGGGGCCCCCGTGTTGAGGATCAGTGTGGCAGATGTGTTGTTACCTACCCTTACCACCTGGGGGCGGCCCGTCAGGAAGTCCAGGATCCAGTTGCAGAGGGAGGTGTTTAGTCCCAGGATCCTTAGCTTAGTGATGAGCTTAGAGGGCACTATGGTGTTGAATGCTGAGCTGTAGTCAATGAATAGCATTCTCACGTAGGTGTTCCTCTTGTCCAGGTGGGAAAGGGCAGTGTGGAGTGCGATAGAGATTGCATCATCTGTGGATCTGTTGGGGCGGTATGCAAATTGGAGTGGGTCTAGGGTTTCTGGGATTATGCTGTTGATGTGAGCCATGACCAGTCTTTCAAAGCACTTCATGGCTACAGATGTCAGTGCTACGGGTCGGTAGTCATTTAGGCAGGTTATCTTAGAGTTCTTGGGCACGGGGACTATGGTGGTCTGCTTGAAACATGTTGGTATTACAGACTCAGTCAGGGACATGTTGAAAATGTCAGTGAAGACACTTGCCAGTTGGTCAGCACATGCTCGGAGTACACGTCCTGGTAATCCGTCTGGCCCTGCGGCCTTGTGAATGTTGACCTGCTTAAAAGTCTTACTCACATCGGCTACGGAGAGCGTGATCACATAGTCGTCCGGAACAGCTGGTGCTCTCATGCATGCTTCAGTGTTGCTTGCCTCGAAGCGAGCATAGAAGTGGTTTAGCTCGTCTGGTAGGCTTGTGTCACTGGGCAGCTCGCGGCTGTGCTTCCCTTTGTAGTCTGTAATAGTTTTCAAGCCCTGCCACATCCGACGAGCGTCAGAGCCAGTGTAGTATGATTCAATCTTAGACCTGTATTGACTCTTTGCCTGTTTGATGGTTCGTCGGAGGTCATAGCGGGATTTCTTATAAGCGTCCGGGTTAGAGTCCCGTTCCTTGAAAGCGGCAGCTCTACCCTTTAGCTCAGTGCGGATGTTTCCTGTAATCCATGGCTTCTGGTTGGGGTATGTACGTACGGTCACTGTGGGGACGACATCATCGATGCACTTATTGATGAAGCCAGTGACTGATGTGGTGTACTCCTCAATGCTGTCTGAAGAATCCCGGAACATGTTCCAGTCTGTGCTAGCAAAACAGTCCTGTAGCTTAGCATCTGCGTCATCTGACCACTTTTTTATTAACCGAATCACTGGTGCTTCCTGCTTCAGTTTTTGCTTATAAGCAGGAATCAGGAGGATAGAGTTATGGTCAGATTTGCCAAATGGAGGGCGAGGGAGAGCTTTGTATGCGTCTCTGTGTGTGGAGTAAAGGTGGTCTAGAGTTTTTTTCCCTCTGGTTGCACATTTAACATGCTGGTAGAAATTAGGTAGAACGGATTTAAGTTTCCCTGCATTAAAGTCCCCGGCTACTAGGAGCGCTGCATCTGGATGAGCGTTTTCCTGTTGATTAATGGCCTTGTACAACTCATTCAGTGCAATCTTAATGCCAGCATTGGTTTGTGGTGGTAAATAGACAGCTATGAAAAATATAGATGAAAACTCTCTTGGTAAATAGTGTGGTCTACAGCTTATCATAAGATACTCTACCTCAGGCGAGCAAAACCTCGAGACTTCCTTAGTTCCTTAGATAATAAGGAGAGCTTTAAATCAATCAGCCTCTTTAGTTGACAGTTGTGCCACAGAGTTCAATTTTACAGTTTAGAAGATGGACATTTGGACGCTATCCCAAATCGTACCCTATACCCTATATAGTGCAGTACTTTGGGCCCTGGTCAAAAAAGTTGTGCTCAATGGGAAAAGGGTGTCATTTGGAATGCACACTGGGTAGATCTCTAGAGAAAACAGCGCGTAAAGGCTGACTTTATGAATCATGATTCAGCTGATCCAGCACCCATTGTTTGAGTTAATATCCATACACAACGGCAAAGCTGGCCTGCAGTCCTAGACCAAGGGGATGGTAACACAAGCATGGTTAATCAAGTATGACTTGGCGTGTAGTAGCAGTGACATGGTAGAGTCTGGGTTTAAAGCTATACGATCTGGTGGTGTGCTAGACTAGAGAACTCGCTAATAAAGCCAGTGGAATGCTGCAGTAGACTAATCTGCATTAGATAAATCAAGTACAGTAGCATCTTGGAGCAAGCTGCCCCATACGGAAAAGTAATATGGCCATATATGGCCTTATATACACTACATTACCAAAAGTATGTGGACACCTGTTCGACGAACATCTCATTCCAAAATCATGGACATTAATATGGAGTTGGTCCCCCCTTTGCTGCTATAACAGCCTCCACTCTTCTGGGAAGGCTTTCCGCTAGATGTTAGAACATTGCTGCAGGGACTTGCTTCCATTCAGCCACAAGAGCATTACTGAGGTCGGGCACTGATGTTGGGCGATTAGGCCTGGCTCACAGTCGGCGTTCCAATTCATTCCAAAGGTGTTCGATGGGGTTGAGGTCAGGGTTCTGTGCAGGCCAGTCATGTTCTTCCACACCGATCTCGAAACCATTTCTGTATGGACCTCGCTTTGTGCACGGGGGCATTGTCATGCTGATACAGGACAGGGCCTTCCCCAAACTGTTGCCACAAAGCTGGAAGCACAGAATCGTCTAGAATGTCACTGTATGCTGTAGCGTTAAGATTTCCCTTCAATGGAACTAAGGGTCCTTGCCCGAACCATGAAAAACAGTCCCAGACCATTTTTCCTCCTCCACCAATCTTTACAGTTGGCACTATGCATTGGGGTAGGAAGCGTTCTCCTGGCATCCGCCAAACCCAGATTAGTCTGTCGGACTGCCAGATGGTGAAGCGTGATTCATCACTCCAGAGAACACGTTTCCACTGCTCCAGAGTCCAATGGCGGCGAGCTTTACACCACTCCAGCTGACGCTTGGCATTGCGCATGGTGATCTTAGGCTTGTGTACGGCTGCTCGGCCACAGAAACCCATTTCATGAAGCTCCTGACGAACAGTTATTGTGCTTACATTGCTTCCAGAGGCAGTTTAAATGGTACAATGATTCTCTACACTATACTTGCTTGTGTTGTCACAAAAACTGAAATTAGGCCAGCCTAAAGGCTGTCACACCAGCCTTCACTTTGGCTCCCCCCCTGTCCAGTTCAGGCATTCGGCGATGCCGGCCTACTAGCTGCTGCCGAACCTGCTACTGGCAAACACCTCATCAACCCCGGACTTGTCTCGTCATCATTACACACACCTGGTTCCAATCCCCACTCTATCACTGTATATATACTCCCTCTGTCATTTGTCTTTGTCGGTCATTGTATATGTTGCTTGTTTTCCTGAGAGGGAGCTCTCCTACTATGTCCTGAGTACTTTATATTTTGCACTGTGGGTTTCATCCCGCTTTAAGCTATGGTGCTTTAATAAATTGAGTAGTTCTAAATCTGCGACTGCCTCCTGCCTACTCCTCTCTACACCAGTGACAGAATGACCGACCCAAGAAAACAGGAAGCAGCAGGACATCCCGACCTCTCCGCTGTAGGAGCGATGTTCCGGCACCACGACTCGTGCCGGAAGCGCCTCGGGACTACCATGGACGAGGTTCACCGGGTCGTATGCCAACTGCAGGCTACACCACCACCTTCCCAGCTCCCTGCGGTCGTTCCAGCCACCCCACCACCATCTACATCACCCGGTCCGATCAGCAACGTCCACCTGCCCCTCCCGGAGTGGTTTGACGGCACCCCAGCTCACTGTAGGGGGTTTCTCCTGCAGTGTGACCTCCACATTTCCCTTCATGCCGGGTCGGCCTCCGAGAGGGACAAGGTGGCCTTGGTGATCTTGGTGCAGACAGGCCGGGCTCTGGAGTGGGCGCACGCCGTCTGGGAGAGGGACGGTCCAGAAGTGCAGTCCTATGAGCGCTTCACACAACTCTTCTGTGCCGTCTTCGACCACCAAACAGATGGCTGAGAGGGAGGTGAGCATCTACGCCAGGGTCCAGGACAGCGTCGGAGTACGCTCTGGATTTCCGGACAGTGGCTGCGTCCACTGGCTGGAACGTCCAGGCCCTGTTGACGGTTTTCCGCAGCAGGCTACAGGCGGACGTCCAGACCGAGCTGGCCTGTCACGATGAGGACTTCACGCTGGACCAGCTCATCGCCATGGCCATCCGCCTGGATAATCTCCTGCATGCCCGTCGTCACCCATCCCGGGGGTTCGGGTCTCTCCCAGGAACCTCCAGCGAGACTGAGCCCATGGAGGTTGGCACAACACACCTTCCCCCTGCAGAACATAAACGCCTCTGTAAACAGGGTCTCTGCTTCTACAGCGGGGAGTCGGACCACTCCTGGAACACCTGTCCCAGAAGGAGAACCAGGCGAGGAAGCGACAGGCCGAGGCGCGCTCCTGCAAGTTCCCAGGTAGACGTGGGCGTGGGCGTGCCTTGCTCCTCTCTGTCCACCCAGCCTGTCCTCCTCCCTGTCATCTTGCCTGACTATCCTGGTCCCCCACTGAGTCCTGCCCTAGTGGACTCACGTGCAGTAGGCAATTTCCTAGACCGGTCAGTGGCCTTATCATTACGCATTCCTCTAGTCCCTTTACAACCCCCTATCCCAGTCCATGCCCTAGACAACCGTCCCCTAGGAACAGGACTGGTGCGCCAGACCACGATTCCCATTTCCCTCACTGTTAATCACAACCACCATGAACACATCACTTTCCTCATCTTAGACTCTTCTGCACACCCCGTAGTTTTAGGTTTCCCCTGGCTACAGTTGCATAACCCCAGTATATTGTGGACAGAGAGGAGGTTGTTGGGTTGGTCGCAGGACTGTCGGGGAGGTGTCTCTCTGTGTCAATCTGTGCCACCTCTGTGGAAAGTTCGGACCAGGCCACCCACGTCCCTATCCCGGAGGAATACCGGGACCTAAAGGTGGCCTTGGTGACACCCATTATTCCCCTGTCCTGCATTGTGGCTCCTGTCGTGTGGAATGTGGACGCGGACATTCGTCGAGCCCTGCGACAGGAGCCCTTGCCTGCCCACTGTCCTGAGGGGCATATCTACATGCCCTCTGATGTGCAGGACCGTCTCCTTGCCTGGGTATACACAGCACCTGTGTCGGGGCACCGACTGTCTCTCTGCCAAGTACTGGTGTCCCACCTTGGCCCTGGACGTCCTGGTTGACGTCTCTTCCTGCTCCACCTGCACACAGAGCAAGACACTGAGACACCTCCCCTATGGCAAACTCCACCCGCTGCCGGTTCCACAATGACCCTGGTCCCATCTCTCCGTGGACTTTTTCACAGACCTTCCCCCCTCGGAGGGGCACACCACCACCCTGGTTGTTGTGGACCGGTTTTCCAAAGCCTGTCATTTGATTCCTCTGCCTGGTCTCCCTACAGCCATGCAGACCGCGGAGGCCCTCTTCTCTCACGTCTTCCGGCACTACGGGATCCCGGAGGACATTTTGTCTGACCGTGGTCCTCAGTTCACCTCCCGTGTCTGGAAGGCCTTCATGGAACGACTGGGGGTCACGGTCAGTCTCACCTCCGGGTACCGTCCCCAATCAAATGGGCAGGTGGAAAGGGTAAATCAGGAACTGGGTAGGTACCTTTGTAATTACTGTCAGGACCAGCCAGGGGATTGGGCTGCATTTCTGCCTTGGGCAGAATACGCACAAAACTCCCTCCGTCACTCCTCCACTAACCTCACACCCTTTCGGTGTGTTCTAAGCTATCAGCCAGCCCTGGCACCCTGGCACCGGAGTCAACAAACAGATCACCGACCATTTCAAATCCCACCAATTCCCCGCAATGCAATCCGGTTTCCGAGCTGGTCATGGGTGCACTTCAGCCACGCTCAAGGTCCTAAACGATATTATAACCGCGATCGATAATAGACAGTACTGTGCAGCCGTTTTCATTGACCTGGCCAATGCTTTCGACTCTGTCAACCACCGCATTCTTATTGGCAGACTAAATAGCCTTGGTTTCTCAAATGACTGCCTCGCCTGGTTCACCAACTACTTCTCAGATAGAGTTCAATGTGTCAAATCGGAGGGCCTGTTGTCTGGACCTATGGCAGTCTATATGGGGGTGCCACAGGGTTCAATTCTTGGGCCGACTCTTTTCTCTGTGTATATCAATGACGTCGCTCTTGCTGCTGGTGACTCTCAGATCCACCTCTACGCAGACGACACCATTTTGTATACATCTGGCCCTTCATTGGACACTGTGTTAACAAACCTCCAAACGAGCTTCAATGCCATATAACACTCCTTCAGTAGCCTCCAACTGCTCTTAAACACTAGTAAAACTAAATGCATGCTCTTCAACCGAACGCTGCTTGCACCCGCCCACCCGACTAGAATCACTACTCTCGACGGGTCTGACCTAGAGTATGTGGACAACTACAAATATCTAGGTGTCTGGTTAGACTGTAATCTCTCCTTCTAGACTCACATTAAGAATCTCCAATCCAAAGTTAAATCTAGAATCGGTTTCCTATTTCGCAACAAAGCCTCCTTCACTCATGCTGCCAAACATGCCCTCGTAAAACTGACTATCCTACCGATCCTTGACTTCGGCGATGTCATTTACAAAATAGCCTCCAACACTCTACTCAGCAAATTGGACGTAGTCTATCACAGTGCCATCCGTTTTGTCTCCAAAGCCCCATATAATACCCACCACTGTGACCTGTACGCTCTTGTTGGCTGGTCCTCACTACATATTCGTCGCCAAACCCACTGGCTCCAGGCCATCTATAAATCACTGCTAGGCAAATCCCCGCCTTATCTTAGCTCATTGGTCACCATAGCAACACCCACCCGTAGTCTGCGCTCCAGCAGGTATATCTCACTGGTCATCCCCAAAGCCAACACCTCCTTTGGCCGCAATTCCTTCCAGTTCTCTGCTGCCAATGACTGGAACAAATTGCAAAAATCTCTGAAGCTGGAGACACTTATCTCCCTCACTAACTTTAAGCATCAGTTGTCAGAGCACCTTACCGATCACTGCACCTGTACACAGCCCATCTGAAATTAGCCCGCCCAACTACCTCATCCCTATATTGTTATTTATTTTGCTCATTTGTACCCCAGTATCTCTATTTGCACACCATCTCTTGCACATCTATCATTCCAGCGTTAATACTAATTGTAATTATTTTGCACTATAGCCTATTTATTGCCCTACCTCCATAACTTGGTACATTTGCACACACTGTATATATATGTATTTCTGTTGTATTTTTGACTTTGTTTTGTTTTACCCCATATGTAACTCTGTGTTGTTGTTTTTATCGCACTGCTTTGCTTTATCTTGGCCAGGTCGCAGTTGTAAATGAGAACTTGTTCTCAACTGGTTTACCTGGTTAAATAAAGGTGAAATAAAATTTTTTTAAAGATTGAGGCTCCTGCGGTGGACGATTGGTTCCGGCGCGCCGAGGAGGTATGGAACACAGTGCACACCCATCTCCAGCACTTTGTCCTCCGGCAGAAGGCGCAGTCCGATCGTCACCGCAGTGTGACCCCGGTGACAGGGTCTGGCTTTCTACGAAGGACCTGCCCCTCTGCCTGCCCTGCCAGAAGCTGAGCCCGCAGTTTGTGGGGCCGTTCAAGGTCCTGAGGAGAATCAATGAGGTGAAGTACAGATTACAGCTCCCTGTCATTTACCGTATCTCACCCTCATTACATGTATCTCTCCTCAGGCCGGTGGCAGCTAGTCCCTTGGCTAGTGCTGGACCCCACGACGCACCTCCCCCTCCCTTGGACTTCGAGGGAGCCCCGGCGCCCCGGCGTTGGTCTCTCCAGTACCTGGTCAACTGGGAGGGGTACGGTCCCGAAGAGCGGTGCTGGGTTCCAGTTCGGGAAGTCCTGGACCGTTCTCTCATTTGGGATTTCCACAGGCGTCATCCCGACCGACCGGCTCCGCATCTCCGGGGTCGTCCCCAAGGTCGGCAGCGCCCTGCTGCTGAAGCAACGCCTCGAGGTGGTACTGTCACACCAGCCTTCGTTTTGGCTCCCCATCCTGTCCAGCTCAGGTATTCGGCTTCGCCCGGCCTTCTAGCTGCTGCCGAACCTGCTGCTGGAAAACGCCCTTCACTCATCAACCCAGGACTTGTCTCGTCATCATTACACACACCTGGTTCCAATCCCCAATCTATCACTGTATATATGCTCCCTCTGTCATTTGTCTTTGTCGGTCATTGTATATGTTGCTTGTTTTCCTGAGAGGGAGCTCTCCTACTATGTCCTGAGTACTTTATATTTTGCACTGTGGATTTCATCCCGCTTTAAACTATGGTGCTTTAATAAATTCAGTAGTTCTAAACCTGCGACTGCCTCCTGCCTACTCATCTCTACACCAGTGACAATTAACATTTTAGCAACCAGGAAATGGCAGAGTGATTTCTGCATAGTGCAGTCAAAAATGGGATTTTCCTATTGTTTTTATATATAAGTCCACACTATGATGTTGGAATAATACTGTGAAATTTTGAAAATGTTAAAAACGTTCAAGCTCATTTGCTGCATTTCTATACTATTTAAACACTCTAAAATGCTTTTGGAAAATAGCAAAAATTATCCCAACCATTATCACATTGGTTCTTGTAGCTTCATTTACCTCAGTCGATCTACAAACAGATAGCCTATTAGCTATACAATTAGCAGCTACACATTAACTCACATTAACTCAGCACCAGGATAGTTTACTACATACAGAGGGATCTGATAGCAGAAAAACTATTTTATTAACAAAACGTAAACAAATTAAATTTTAAAGCTAATTCCATTCAATTCTACACATTTTGCCATGACTTATGTCATGTTAATATGATACCTGAGTGAGACTGACAAACATGTCAATGAGGGCCCCTTGGAGGTTAGGATCCCTGGGCTAGTGCCCAGCTTTACCTGTCAGTAATTCGGCCCTGATTACTACACATTTAGATAGCTGTCTAGACTAACTAGGTAGAATCTCAATTCACACTCATTGCGTCCTCTCTCCTTGCCTCCTTCTCGAAACCCATTGGATGAGAAAGCCAGAGATCCCGCCCCTCTGATCTTCTCCTCCAATGGGTTTTGAGATGGAGACGAGGAGAGAGGAGAGGACACGAGGAGTATGCAATTGAGATTCTCCCCTAGACTAATCCAAAAATGTTTTATGACATGTGCTAATTGCGTGACTGTCAGTGAGTGACATATAGCAAGAGGAAAACTGCTGATGCACAACTACATTTCGAAATTGCACCTTGTCAATTCTACTATTCTAACTCTCAACAGTAATTTGAGACCCTGACTGGGTTCCTTAAAAAAACATTTTTAGGGAATAAATTACCGAAGACCGGACCTCCCTGTCCTCATAATATGAGGTCTTGTCCCATCGCTGCAACTCCCCTACCGACTCGGGAGAGGCGAAGGTCGAGAGCCACGCGTCCTCTGAAACATGACCCTGTCAAGCCATGCAGTGTGCAATAGTAGAAATTAGCTTGAATTATTATGTAATTACGGCCATGCCTGTATGGTCATGTAGAGAGGCGGCCAACTATTGAAACTAGCTGCGGCTGCTTTATATGCAACTTCACCAGCTCTCTGGTGCTGCTCTATCCTCCTCTCTGCAAGTTCTGGCGACGCCCATCAGTTAGACATTATGTTTAATATAGCCAAATGAAAGATGTGGGACTGCGTGAGACGTGCACTATTGGTATTGTGCAGAAGCCACCGCAGAATGACACTTAATGTGATTGATAGTAAAGCATGCTGTAACTTACCTCTCGTAGAAGTCTCTGTGCAAGTCGTGTCGATCAGCTGAGGAGAGAGAGAGGAGAGGGGAGGGGAGGGTAGGAGGAGAATCCTGAGTCAGCCTCTCTCTCTCTCTCTAAAATTCAAATACAATATACTTTAATGGCATGAATGACAAGGTCGATGTTGCCAAATCGAAATGATACACATAAAAAATATGAAAACTAAAGCGACAACAATAAGAATAGCTACAAATACCAAACTAAATAAATATCCAGCATCTAATTTAACAATCAAAATTGAAAATCTCTCTCAGACACAATAGCAACATTGACTAACACCAGTTCAGGTAAGACGGTTACTTTGCCCACATTCAAGTCGTTTACTCTGACTGAATGGCTGCTGTTTCTCCATGAATGTCTTTCCATGAAATGTAACATGACATTTATAGCTTGTGAGAGGTAAGGCGGTGGACATGGCCCTAGTCATTAAAAGTCGATAACTCATGAAAAGTGATGGGAATGTTTAAGGGCTCTGACAGAACGGATGGAATGTATAGGCTATCTCTGGAGGTTCTGTTTGAACATAATAAAACCAAACAAATCTTGAGACATTCAGGATGACGTTCCATTTTGTGTAGATGTATACAATACTATTTTTTTATTTCTCAATCAAGAGCATTAATAATAGTTTTATTAGCATCACATTATAATCAAACAAATAGGCTGTGTTGTCGGATCATTTTTCTTGCCCTTTGTTAAGTTACACTATTTATACCAGACCCTCATTTGTAGGAGTCATTATCAAACATCTTACATTCTGTTAAATAAATGAATTTGAACACAAATTGGAACGTTTTATTGATACCCCATAACCAATCAAACAGTGGACACACACAGACACTACCCTTTCCCGAACCCTACACTACATTACACTACATCTGTATAATAGTTGCGGGAGGCTCAAGAGAACAAACCTCATTGCCTTTGCAAGTACTGTCTGCCATCCTTCCAGTCCAGTCCTGTATTTCTGCTGTGGTGAATTCCTTCCCCCTGCTCTTTTTTCTGCTGCTTCACATCTGTGAAAGCTAAGTCACAAAGGAGAGGAGAAGGCAGATGTTAGTACGGGAGTGTGGGGGGCCTGGAGGGGAGCTAGCGCTCCGAGGAGAAAGGGGCCACAGGGTTTTACACATGGAGTCAGGGACAGACAGGGTAGGGTAGTGTTATTGTTGGGGTGGAGACGGGAGGTGAGTGGGGCAGAGGGGAGAGCTAGGCTAGCTTGAGGGAAGGAAAGGATTGGGAGGGAGGGAGGACCATGGAGCTGGGGAGGAATTGATGGCAGAAACCTTGGGGGAGGGACAGTAACGCTCACACACACACAGAGATCCACTTTTAGCAGAGCCAATGTATGTTTTACTATTTATGGGGACCAATGGTTTTTGTTAGCTGAATTAGCCAGATTTTGTTCCATGTTCCCTTGGGACTAAAGTTTTGAAATGGAATGTCTGGCTCACTGAAACGTAGACCACATTTTATATGATTGTCTTTTTGTAAGGCAATTAGAATAGACACATTTATACAGGCACATCAAATGGTACTTTTACACTTTCCTACCATCACTGTTGGTGCAGATACAGCACAACCATGTTGGCACAACGGTCTACCTGCAGCGCACAGTGAGAATGAATAGGCCTATTTGTATTTACCCTCTGCAAGTTTTTGGATGAACTGTTATTGCCATTGCTGTGAGAGCTGAGAGCGGAAGTTGATTTCAGATTGGTGTACACGTGTAACACAAGCACATCTGGAGTGCGTTATTGCCCTAGGGGTCCAGGAATGAAGGAGACTCCACAGACTGTTATGTAATGATGTCAGGGGTGTTCTTCTTCTTCTTTTTCTTCCATCTCCTCACCATTAACAGACACATCTGACCCAGATTTGATTGACTCTAAGACATTGACACTGACTGTCGTCCCTTGAACTACCACTGTCTATAGTACCGGTATGTCTATGTCAAGGAAGGAAGGGAGGGAGGAAGGAAGGGAGGGAGGAAGGAAGGAAATAAGGAAGGAAGGAAGGCTCATGCTTCACATACTGTCTGTTGTCTGCCCCTCTTTCTTTCCCTCTTTCTCAATTTTTAAGTGCAAAGAAAAATCGAAATGTTCAAGAAAAACATTATTTGTAGCTCAATATGCTTTCATTCAGACTATTGATTCACCTTTCAACTGCAAGCTACTCAACCGTTATCATCTCTTTCTCTGTACCTCTCTTTTTCCGCACTACTCCTAATTTTAGAAACTGCACAACGTTCCAAAAACTTTCAGCTGTGAAAACATAATTGTCCCACAAATGTAATGTGTTGAAGGGAGGAGAACTGATAAATCACATATCAAACCATGTTTTAAACTACGTCAATATGCTTTTTGTTTCATTCACTATCCTTCGATTTATTCCAGGCCTACAAGAATAAATTGTACAAAAACACCAGATAAATTATTTCTATTTGGGGATATATTAATGGTGAGATTCCAAATTAAATTATTCAGTTGACATGACCCACAGCTCTTGACCTGTGACCTTCCCTGCAAGTGGTCACATGTTTATACAGTTTGTTCTGACACACCTGGGCCTTAACCACTGACCCCTAGTTGACCTCTCATTTTCTCACCTCATAAAAACCTCCATAACCCTCTCTAGACTTGCTCCTTGTCTTTACTCAACTTAATTGCCCACCAACAACCAGAAGCTAGAGGCTGCATCCCAAATGTAGTGCACTATAAAAGGAACAGGGTACCATTTGTGACGTAGTCAGAACTAATTCTTTTTATGAGGTGGCAAACATTATTTGATCTTGTGTCTGTGTGTTTGTTCTTTGGAGTGTCTACCTAAACATGGACATCAATGCAGTAGTTCATATGGTTGTGGCATTCAACAAACTTGAGTAAGAGTTTTGCTGAAATATAAAGATTTGTTTCTGTTTCATATCTAGGACTATGGATTATGAATGTATGTTTACCTACGAGTAGCCTTCTCTTGTCCAAGATCCCCTGACATCCCAAAGTAATAACCTGTGGTTCAATGGGTTACAGTTTGAAATGACCCCCCTGTCAATCATACAATGATGTGCATGCAAAGAGAAAATAACAGGCTGCACAAGAACTCACTACTGCAATGGTCCATGTTACAAAGTGGCTCAGTGACTCATGTTTGCATTTAAATGTGAAAAAAAACAACAGTCAGCATGTTCTTCACAAAGAGGGCAACTGATGCTACTAAGACAGATGTCTGTGTCAGGGGAGAAGCTCCAGGTGGTATCTGTTTTTAAGTACGTTGGCATCATACTTGATTCCAACCTCTCTTTCAAAAAGCAGGTGAAAAAGGTAACTCAAATATCAAAATTCAACCTAGCTAATTTCCGATACATACGAAATTGTTTGACTACACTTAGTACTTTTGTCAAACAGAAAACCCATGGCAGCAGATCCACAAGGTCTGCCATGAGAAGTGACTGTATAATTCCCTTAATTAAGGAAAAGCACCTTTAGTCAAACTGCTTTCCCTGTGAGTTTCCCATGTCTGGAACACACTACCATCAGACTGCACCACCTATCGCACGTTCACAAAAAAACAGAAAGACATGTATAAAGAACAATCAGACTTGTGAACATAATCCTTAGCTATGTATTGCCGCTTTCCATGTTATCTGTTGTCTATAGCTTGTTTGTTGCTTTTTGTGCTATTCCTCTGTCTGTCTGAATGCTACGTGTTGCTTGTCATATGTTGCTCTGCATGTGCTCACTGCTCATTGTTTGTCTGTATTGTAATTGTTTTTAATAACCTGCCCAGGGACTGCGGTTGAAAATTAGCCGGCTGGCTAAAACCGGCACTTTTACTGAAACGTTGATTAATGTGCACTGTCACTGTAAAAATAAACTAATTAAAGTAAAGTAAAGTAAAGTAAAGTAAAAGTCTGTATATAATGCCAGGCATAAGAAGGTACATGAGAAACATCTAATTTTATATGGCTTTTATTTCAAGTCCACCACACAATCTGGAATGAATGGGAAATTAAATGGAACTTCGGAACACTATCCACATTTGTCCCTGGTTATCCCGATTGCCTCAAATACAAGTGATTCCATATGTTCCCTCCCTCTCATTTAGGCTTGTCTGTATCTTGGTAATGATTACAGTGTCGTCGCCCCTTTCCTCCGGGCTCTGTTTCTAATCCACACAAATAAAGAGGACAGACACACTCGACTTGGCCCCACATCCTCCGATTCCAGGGTGGACCCGTTCCAAGACAAGCTCAGCTTTTGTAGAATTACTGTTTTTTCATTTCCCTTTCTCTCTCTCTCCCTCTCCCTCTCTCCCTTTCTCTCCATCTCCCTCTCCCTCTCTCTCTCTCTCTCCCTTTCGCTCTCTCTACTCTCTCTCTCTCTGCTCTCTCTGCTCTCTCTCTCTTCTCTCTCTCTCTCTCTCTCCTCTCTCTCCTACTCTCTCTGCCTACGTCGATCCTCTCTCTCTTCCTCCTTTAGTCTGCTCTCTCTCTCTCTCTTTTTCTCTCTCTCGCTCTCTCGCTCTCTCGCTCTCTCGCTCTCTCTCTCTCTCTCTCTTTTTCTCTCTCTCGCTCTCTCTCTCTCTCTTATTGTAGCTTCATCACCCATTTGAGCACAAACTGAGGAGGAGGGCGACAGGCAGACAGGCAGGCAGGCAGGCAGGGGATCCTCAAACAGACAGAGACTCACACGAGACAAAACCAAGCAGGCGCTCCGTTGTCCGGGCACTTATTCTCTGCAGATGGAGGTACCAGTCTTATACAAGTGCAATGTTAGGACTTATGGCTGAAGAAAATATCAATGGAGAATTCAATGGAGAATTCAGTGGAGAATTCAGTGGAGAATTCAGTGGAGAATTCAATGGAGAATTCTTCCTGAATTCATATGGTGAACAGATGGAAAATGATACAAACTCTACAGAAAAAAAGGTAGTAAGACAACTTATATGCAGCCAAGTTCACAGTGACCTTCTGCTTTCGAGATTGATGTGGGAGTCTTATTTAGTTATGACTTTCAGTTGTCTTGTATCTCTATTCATTTGATCACTTGATACCACCTCTTGTCTTATCATTTCTCTTTGAATACATTAATTCTTCTTAGTTATAGAGAAGTCGTAGCATAATACACGGGAGTATGAAAACTTTTTGTGAGCTGAAAAGGTCAGGGAATCCACTGTTGATTTACCAGTGGTGTGAACTCTTCGAAGATGTCATACCATATAGGCTCTGTGGTGTTGGCTTGTCATAACAGCCTTACGGTTATGGTTATAAAACTGTAGGGCTCCTCCCATTCTAGTCTTTGGAGTTTAAAGGGGCAATCTGCATTTCAAACAATAACAAAGCAGTGCACCCTAACACTGTGTATGTAAATAGCTGAGGGATGGGGCTGGAGAAATGTAACCACTATAAAATGCATAGACAGAGCTATGGATGCAAGGACTGACAATCCATGAGATCAAAATTATGGTTTTAACCATGTTCTGAGGCATATTCAGTGTTTCTTTACAATTACATTGTTCACAAACATTGAAGAAGAACAAGCTTATATTTTGGGTTTTGGTGTGGTAAGACAGTTGAACTAAGCTCATAAGATATTTGTAAATTATATTCTTCAAGAATCAATGGGTATATATCATTAATCTAAAGGTCAAAAAATGTATGTAACAACTGCAGATTGCCCTTTTAAGGTAAGCTAATCAGTGTTTTAGGTCTGTTTTTGTTTCCTTGGCTGTACATTACAAGGCAGAGTATTTATTGCGTGGTATTTATTCTATTGCCACCTGGTGGTAAAAAGCTGACCCCATACTAAAACTTTAAAGGCCCAGTGCAGACAAAATTCAGTTTTTCCTGTGTTTTGTATCACAACAGCTGATGAAACTAACACTGTAAAAGTGTGAAAAATGTATTAGTGTTATTTCCTGATAGTTGCTGGTTGGAAATACAATCTGCACAGGACCTTCTAAGCAGCAGGTTTGCATGGGTGGGAGCTTTGGCTTTCCATGGTGAAATCACCATGCGGTAAATTGGTTAGTAGACCACTAACAAAGAGAGTTCCAAACGTCTGTGCCAATAACAGCTAGTTTTAAGTTTTCCCCTCCTTACTCAGACCACTACCAGACAATCCTAGCAAAATTATTGTCCGGAAATGCAGCTCTTACTCGGGTTCTGCTGTGGGGCAGTGGTTCCACAGCCTTTCCTCTACACAGAGCCAGGTTTTCCTGTGTCTACCCTTGTCAATGGCAAGGCTGTGCTCACTGAGCCTGTACTTTGTTTTTGTAACCATGGTTGAATAAAATTTGATTTGGATTTGATTAGAATAGTTTGCCATGGTGTACTGTCCATTTAGGGCCAGATAGCAATGCATTTTGCTTTGTGCTTGTGTTTCCCCATAGGTAATGTAGTTTTGTTTTGACTGTGTTGTAATTTGTTTTATTCTGATTGATTGGATGTTCTGGTCCTGAGGCTTCAGTGTGTTAGTAGAACAGGTTTGTGAACTCAGCCCCAGGACAAGCTGGATGAGGGGACTTTTCTTTGCTCAGCTCTTGGCATTGCAGGGCTTGGTAATGGTATGAGAGGGGGTCACTGTATTTTAGATGTTTCAAAAACTTAATTGCTCTTTTTGAGTTTTTATTATCAGTGGATATTGGCCTAATTCTGCCTTACATGCATTGTTTGTAGATTTCCTCTGGACATGTAGGGGAATCCTACAGAACTCTGCAAGAAGGGTTTCAATGGGGTGATTGTCCTATTGGGTGAAATCTTGTTTTGCAAGTGGACCCCACACCTCGCTGCCATAAAGTGCAATTGGTTCAATGACATATTCAATTAGCTTTAGCCACATTTTAATAGGTATTTAAAATGTGGTATTAGGTATTTCAATTTGAATTAGCTTTTCATCATAGCAGTGCCTTGTAACAAGTAAAACAACTTTTTCAAGAGAGCGAATGTCAGCGGTGGCGACATTGTTTCACAGTTAAATGTCAGACCACATACCAATACACACACTCACTCACACACCTGACAGGACATGTTTACACACAAACAGACCTAATTTCACACCCCAACTTTTGTAAGCCACAACCACCCTTAGATCGGTACACAAATACACTCTCAAATCAGAACCCCTTCCCCACACAACTCACAGGCCCACACACACACACGCACACACAAACACGCACACATACACATAAACACATACATACACACCAGTGGAGGCTCCTTAGAGGACGAAAGGGAGGACCATCCTCCTCAGTGAATTTCATTTTTAAAAATGGTAAAACATTTCAAAAGTTATATTTTTTAATAAAACTATACTAAATATATTCATGTCACCAAATAATAGATTAAAACAGATTTGTGTTGCAATGAAAGTCTACAATAGCCTCAACAGAACTCTGTAGGGTAGCACCATCGTGTAGCCGGAGGACAGCTAGCTTCCATCCTCCTCTGGGTACATTGACTTCAATACAAAACCTAGGAGGCTCATAGTCCTCACCCCCTTCCATAGACTTACACAGTAATTGTGACAACTTCTGGAGGATGTCCTCCAACCTATCAGAGCTCTTGCAGCATCAACTGACATGTTGTCCACCCAATCAAAGGATCAGATAATTAATTTAGTACTGAAAGCATAAGCTACAGCTAGCTAAAACTGCAGTGCATAAAATGTGGTGAGTAGTTGACTCAAAGAGAGACAAAGACAATAGTTGAACAGTTTTGAACAAATTAATTTATTCCAAAATGAAGAAGCAAGAGAGATAGAGAGAGATTGTCATTGTTTTTTCACTTTCAGTTTCACTTACTTAGCTAGCAAATGCAGCTAGCTAGTTTAGCCTACTCAAACACCCTGCTCAAACAGAGGGATGCTATTTTAGCTAGCTAGCTATGACTATCCAACTCAACATTGGAACACTTCGAATTCAAGGTAAGCTTTTGGTTTTTACAAATGTATTGCCACTGGGGCCCACCGGTGTAAGTTATAAACTGCTTACTGACTGTACACTGTAATGTTACTGCATGATTGTAGCGGGTTAACTAATGTATTAGCTAGTTATGTTAGCTATGATGACTATGATGTTACTTTAGCTAATATGGTGACAATGATGTAGGCTGTGTGTAGCGGTTATGATATGGTTTGGCTTGGAAAGGTTTTTTCACCTGGTCACATCCAGCTGATGTGTTGTGCATTGAAGACCAAAAGCGAAGGGAAAAGGAGATAGGATGCGAGCGCATAGATGCAAGAAGGAATACAACGTGGCTGCTATGAAAGTGAACTGTGTTTACACGTGATCATGGGTGTATTCATTCCGCCGATTCTGTTAAAAAATGGTTCTTAAACGGAAGCAAACGGAACAAAACGTGGATAAAAATACCTGAATTTGTCCAATAGAAACTCTCATTTGCACCTGTTGGACTAATGACTACACCCTAGATCAGCTAGAGGCAGGCAAGAGTGTGCAAGGCGGGATTGAATGTGTCACTGTCTGTCAATGTGTCACTGTCTGTCTCTCGACCTGTGTGCACATACGTTGTAAACTTTCATTCATAGGCTAGGTTGTAACAACCTCATGATGGGTATAGGGAAAATGTGCGTATCATGTAGTAGCCTAAACCTATCGCTGTTACATTGAACTGGGTGAATGGAATATGAATGACAGTTACCCACTTCTCTTCTGTCAGAGGTTTTATTCAGGTCTTCATTCAAACAAGCTGTCAGTGAACGCATTTAAAAACAAATACAACTAGCAGCACTAACTATCTGAGATAAAGTAACAATGCATTGGCAAACCTGCTGCCTCAATAGTAATACAAGTAATATACAAAATGTATATAAAATACGAATAAGCTACATATTTAGAACTCTACAATACTTTCCATGTAAAAAAATGTACCTGCATTATCTGAGCCTTGTGTCATAGTTTGCACAAAGAGTAAGTTCAACAGCTTAACTAAAATATAAATTGAGTGACAAATGGTTTGTTCAAATAGACTTGTTGCTGTAGGTATTCTGCAGCTCTTTAATGGTCAAATAGCCACTACAACTGGGTTCCACTGTCATTGAGGAGGATCTGCCTAGAGCAGCTTCTACTGGCCCCGCATTGTAACTGCCACTAGGCGCCATGGCAGAGTTTGACTCAGGATTATGAAGGGGGAGTTGGGGGAGACTCAGGGGATGGTGAGGGCCTGGAGGGATACGAGCAGGCAGGGAGACTGGTAGGACAAGAGGAGGGGGTGAATGATGGTCAACTGGAACCACAACCCTTTCCTTCTTACCCTTTCCTTCCTCCATCACCTGGTCCTCCCCCTCTACACCCTCCATGCCGAACCCAGAGTCTGGGCTCTGGGGCTCCCTCTGCAGCCGACAGAGACGCTCTAGGCGTTCATAGGAGGAGGAGGTGATGATGGTGGCGGAGAGGGAGCTGTGGTCCCCCGTGTAGATGAAGTAGACGGGGCAAGACTCGATGTGGAGGCCGCTGGGGTAGTTGTGGTAGAAGTTGCCGATGTTGGAGAAGTAGGAGGACTGGCCGCTGCTGTTCCAGCCATCAGAGGGGGTGTTGGGGTCAGAGTGTAGGAGGAAGGCCGCGGTGGTGGAGCTGGTGGAGTCGGTGACGTCCCAGACGTCTGTTCCAGACACCTCCACGGGGGAGATGTCCTCGCCGGGCTGGGCGGTGATGAAGGACTCTGGAGAAAACAAGGGGCTCAGCCATTTCTGCATGGGGATGGCCAGAGACACACGTCAGTATACGCAGCACTGTACAGTGTTACAGTTATTGGTGAAATTGAATGTTATGCTGAGACTTAGGCAAAATGACAAAGGATAACTATTTTACTGCATCTACACTGGCAAGTTTAGAAAGTCACTGCAAGATCAGTGTGTGTGTGTCTGTGTGCTTATTCGTAAGTCTAAAATGAGTGCATATGTGAGTTTATTGGTGTGTTAATGTGTGCGTGTGGTAGAGAGAGCGTGTCTATGTCTGCATCTAACTGTTACTGCAAGGAATTCAAAACAACAGAGAAACCACACCAAAGAGCCTGTGCTCATGACTAATGTTTCCCTTGGGTTTTTACTGTGGCTGGGCACTTTCCTTTTACTGGCAACTAAAGAGACTGTTCCCAAACTATAAGCATCAAATGTAAGTAAGTAGTAAGTAAAGTTAAATAAGGACATAAATGCGGACATATCCACTCAACCAGGTTCCAGAATATTATATTAGGCCGTCCACTAGGTTTTCATATCAAGAAAACAAGAAAACAATTTTTTCATTCTGTTGCCACGCTAGTGAATAAAGCCACATAAACATAATTGTATTGGTTCAACAGGTTTCAAGTTTAGCAGGAAGTTGGAGTATTTTCCAGGTACCTGAAAGTTCCCAGCGTGGACAGAGTTAAGTGGCTGGAAGTACTTGGCAGGGTCAGGCACATACTGGTGTTTCCTGTAGAGCACCAAAACAACATGGATTTTAATAAGCCATCTTGGGTCTGTCCCAGAATTAACTTGACACTACATACCCAAACAGACCTAAGGTCCTGACTGCAAATTCTGCTTCATATTGGATTATGTAACCAATGATAAAATCAAGTCGATGTCATCAACATGACACAAGACCAAATTAACTCACTGAGCCAAAGTTCGTAGGTGTCACTCCTGATCTGACCCAACAATCCATACATGCATGCATATAATCCACCTTTACGCATTACTCACCTATTGTTTGTTTGGTTTTTGTAGAAGACTAGCAACATGACAACGATGAGAGTGAAAAACGCACTACTCAACACCAGCCACAAAGTCAGGTCCGGGGAATTCACTGAAACACCAGAGAACGGGAGTACGGTTGGAATATAGGTCTCAGAAATGCTTCTGGGTGCATTTAATGCATTTAACACAGGTCATTAACACAATTTTGTAGACCAGCAAATGAGTTTTATTCCTGTATGGGCCACATGAACTTCACTATGCACCGACTGTCAGTTTCTCTGGATAGGATAGAGAGTCGTCTACATGACTGAACATATAGTAGATGTAAGGTTTTAGTTTGTGGCATGGCATCAAACGTACCAAAGGTTGGTGAGACCTCGCCCTCTGATGTCCAGGAGGCAGTTGGGCTCCAGTCACTCCAATGGGTAGAGACGGGTTGGGTCGGCTTGACTCTCACCCTGATGTGATGAATCCCACTCTCCTCCACACCCAGCACCATCAACAGTTCTTGCTTAAGTCTGGTCAAACTCTGGGCTTCCTTACAGAGACAGACAGATAGACAAACATAAGCATAATCACTACAAAGCTACAAGACTGTCTCAAACTATTTAGGCTGAAATCTTGATTTGAGATGAGTGTGTGTAACTCAAATGTACACACATCATGCTTTGATATCTATGGAAGTGAAGAATCAGCCCAAAATCACAGCTATATACTCAGGCACCGGTATTATGCATGACTACCCACTAATCATATTCACTATAACTCATTCAGCAGGAATACTGCGTGTTCAGCCAATACCACACACTTTTACACCCACCCACACAATGTTTTGTCTGTCTCACTCACCCTCCATAGCTGGTCTTCCCTCTTCACCTTCACCTGGAACTCATATTCAAAGATCTTCTTAGACAGCGGACTACCAGCACTCCAGGTGGCATTAGTCCCATTGATGATGACCGGGATACCGGGAGGATGCATCTTAACTGTAAGGAAACAGAGGGAGATGTCACAGTCATCTAATATCATGAAGTGGAAGTATAGAGGAAGCGATTTGGTGAACTAAGGTCAGGTGATGGGTAACCTTGTCTGAAGACTTAATCATATTGTCATTTAGCAGCTGCTTCCCAAAGCAACGTTTACATTGATAGTGGTACATACATTCAGTATACTCGCAGGTACACTAGAGTGGACACTCACTGTGGTTGATAGGTGTGTATTTTAGGAGGTTTACCACCTCAGACCCGTTACACTCCACCTTAATGCTGGGGAGGTGCTCGGCTGAACTGAAATACTGTAGAGAAACACAGTCCGAAAACAGATTGCATGTTTAATAAAGTAAGAACTCTTTGCATCTGTTCTATATTCATGGAGAAGAATTCTAAGGAAAGATAACTTGAATTCTCATTTTCACAAGACGTTTTATGAAAATATATTTCACATGATATATTTAGTTTACTTTTGAAAAATAAAATAGGAATCGATAGATTTATAGAAAACAATGAAAATGATATGTACAATAACATATATATTGAAAATAACATACTGTATATCATTCTGATTCTGATATCAGTAAAAACTTACATGGCTCGCAAAGACAAAACTGCAGCCTCTGAAAGAATGACCTTGCCCCGGCCTATCCAAGGGTTTGAGATCGCAACTACTCTGGCTATACAAAACAAAATAAATGAAAAGTAAAACTCTCCATATTACACAGGGATGCATTTATACCTCAAAACACAATGCTGTCATTTTCTGTATTGCAGTAATAATAAAGACAAACAAAAAATATTCCTTACAAAGGATTGCCATTATGTTGTTCTCTTGTACCGAGGAGCTGGCAGGCCACGTCTGGATCTATTCCCGAGCTGTTCCACATACAGGTGATGTTGTTGATGTAGTCATTCACACAAAACAGTCCTTGGAGGGAAAGACAGCAAAGGCAAACCAAAAAGAGTATTACTGTATAGTAACACATCATTTTAAAATCCACAAACTCACCAACTTCACAAATCTGACTTACAATTTTTGGGGAAATAAATTCTATCAATAAATGGTGTTTCTCCACAAGGTGCAAGTACTGTTTGGTTTTCACAGATCTTATCTGAATGAGTAGGCTGAGAGTAACATGAAGTCACTAGTTACCTTGGATGTTGTGAATGAAGCCTGGTGCCACAGAGAGCAGGAACAGCAGGTGAAGCATGGACCACATCATTGCCACCACTGTCTAACTGGAAACCAAAAGGTTACATAGATGAAGAAAAGAAGATGAAGAAATTGTCTTGGCCATTACCACCACTGTTTAAATGTAAAACAACGAAGAGGAAAAGGAAAGATGAAGAGGCTTTTATAACAGAGCATGGGCAACACCAGAAACATTTAGACAGTCACAATCCTGAATAACAGTTACATAGAACAGCAGTAGACACATGACACTGATAAGGGATGTCCTGACTTGATTGTGTACCACATGGAAATCTTTCCGTCACAGGCCCAATACCATTATTACCCACTGTCATCACCTTTGTCAATAGTACATTAAGAGTTTTGGTTGGCACTTAAATGCAGCAGCGGAAGCGATACCTGTACAGAATACACATTCATCCATTGACTGCTGCATACTGCATGACCTAATGTTGAACTCTCAATGAGAAAACCTTTTGTACCTATAGTAATTGTATATGCCTATACTATATTTTGGGGCATATTCGGTTACTGTAACCCAGCTGATAATATATTTAGTTAACACAAAATAAAAGTGTGTATGTGTAATAAAAGTGTGTCATCCTAACTTGAGACTTGTCTATTGTTAGTGGTTTCACAGACACCATACATCTGGCATCTCAAATCAGCGGGAAGTCCATAACACTAATTAAACTACTTCCACCGAAAGTGCAGATGCATGTCATTATAACACACACAGTTAACATAAAGCAAAACTACTCGCTGAGGGACTGCAATACAACAAACACGGAGAGTAAACTTAACCACTTGTCTCCCCTGAATAGGCTTATGTTCTAGTTTGTTTGCACCAATACACTGCTAAAAAACTAGACCGTCTAAAGACTTTCAAATTAGGGTTAAGTGCCTTGCTCAAGGGCACATCAACAGATTTTTCACCTTGTTGGCTCAGGTATTTGAACCAGCAACCTTTTCGTTACTGGCTCAACACTCTAACCGCTACGCTACCTACCGCCCTAAGGATTAGTTTTAAATGACTACATTCACTGATGTGGCTGACACTTAGATGATAACAAGAATGATGCAGTGATAATGACAATTTTGCTATTTTTTTATAAAATTGAAATCTAAGTTGAATCTTACAGAGAGTACGTGCTCATGCAAAAAAAATAGGTACTCTACCTCTTCAGACTTACCCTCTTAGTCAGGGTCGAAGAGTCAGCACAGTCCTCATTCTGTTCTCCTACTTTCTTTGCTCTGTTTTGACTATTTGACTTTTGCAGATGCTCTCTCCTCGCTGTCTCCTTTGTCTCAGGTAGGTCTCTCCCTTTGTGAATGTCTCTCTCTGTGTGTGTCTCTCCCTTTGTGACAGTCTCTCTCTGCGCCTCTATCGCTCTCTCTCTCTCTGACTCTCTCTCTACCTCTTTCTCTTTCTCCCTCTCGATTGAAGTGCCCAATGACATTTGATGGTGTCACACGTAACCACAACCTCTCGCTAAGGCTGACATTTGCCTTTTTCTTGCAGGAAGCCACACAGAACACTGAAGATAGAAAAAAAAAACAGTATAATTACCATTCTACTACAAAGGTGTTTATCAACCCTGGTCCTGTTTTTGCCCTAGCACTCACACACCTGATTCAAATTAAAGGCTTAATGATGAGTTGATTAGCTCAATCAAGTGCATTAGTGCTTGGTCCAAAACAAAAATGTGCAGCCCTTCCTAGGACCAGGATTGAGAAACACTGCTCTAAAACACATACTCTACAAGCAAACCCATTAGGCCCCTGGGCCCCTTCATGTGTTAAGGTATAAATAGTGAATACACCGCATCCTGTTTCAGTCGAGCACCAGTAAAGTAGGCTAGAACAGAGATGCACGTTCACACTGACATGTCGGGTGGTTTCACAAATTGAAGCACCAGATTGGCAGAGTAAAGCCTCGATCACAACAACAGCGTCATTGCATTTTGGTACACCAGATGTACATTCATGTCCAATGGAACAATGCGTTTTCCTTGCAGCATTGCGTTGGAGAGGCAGTTGCAGTGCGTTCTGTGTGGTGCATACGTTGGATTTATCGAACTTATGCGTCAAACTGTATGCGTAGACGTCTTGACAGAAATGGTAGCAGAAGGTGAATGTTGAACTTTTCTTGCACACATATCCAGATGATGCTGCGTACCATTTTGCGCAATGACGCAGTCTGTGTGATCAAGGCATAAGGTGAATACACTACATTTTGACAAATGTTAGAATAATGGTTTTCCAATATACAGTTGAAGTCGGAAGTTTACATACACCTTAGCCAAATACATTTAAACTCAGTTTTTCACAATTCTTGACATTTAATCCTAGTAAAAGTTCCCTGTCGTAGGTCAGTTAGGATCACCACTATATTTTAAGAATGTGAAATGTCAGAATAATAGTAGAGAGAATGATTTATTTCAGCTTTTATTTCTTTCATCACATTCCCAGTGGGTCAGAAGTTTACATACACTCAATTAGTATTTGGTAGCATAGCATTTAAATTGTTTAACTTGGGTCAAACGTTTTGGGTAGCCTTCCACAAGCTTCCCACAATAAGTTGGGTGAATTTTGGCCCATTCCTCCTGACAGAGCTGGTGTAACTGAGTCAGGTTTGTAGGCCTCCTTGCTCGCACACACTTTTTCAGTTCTGCCCACAAATGTTCTGTAGGATTGAGGTCAGGGCTTTGTGATGGCCACTCCAATACCTTGACTTTGTTGTCCTTAAGCCATTTTGCCACAACTTTGGAAGTATGCTTGGGGTCATTGTCCATTTGGAAGACCCATTTGCAACCAAGCTTTAACTTCCTGACTGATGTCTTGAGATGTTGCTTCAATATATCCACATCATTTTCCTTCCTCATGATGCCATCTATTTTGTGAAGTGCACCAGTCCCTCCTGCAGCAAAGCACACCCACAGCATGATGCTGCCACCCCCGTGCTTCACAGTTGGGATGGTGTTCTTCAGCTTGCAAGCAACCCCCTTTTTCCTCCAAACATAACGATGGTCATTATGGCCAAACAGTTCTATTTTTGTTTCATCAGACCAGAAGACATTTCTCCAAAAAGTACGATCTTTGTCCCCATGTGCAGTTGCAAAACGTAGTCTGGCTTTTTTATGGCGGTTTTGGAGCAGTGGCTTCTTCCTTGCTGAGCGGCCTTTCAGGTTATGTCGATATAGGACTTGTTTTATTGTGGATATAGATGTGTACCTGTTTCCTCCAACATCTTCACAAGGTCCTTTGCTGTTGTTCTGGGATTGATTTGCACTTTTCGCACCAAAGTACGTTAATCTCTAGGAGACAGAACGCGTCTCCTTCCTGAGCGGTATGACGGCTGCGTGGTTCCATGGTGTTTATACTTGTGTACTATTGTTTGTACAGATGAACGTGGTACCTTCAGGCATTTGGAAATTGCTCCCAAGGATGAACCAGACTTGTGGAGGTCTACAATTCTTTTTCTGAGGTCTTGGCTGATTTCTTTTGATTTTCCCATGATGTCAAGCAAAGAGGCACTGAGTTTGAAGGTAGGCCTTGAAATACATCCACAGGTACACCTCCGATTGACTCAAATGATGTCAATTAGCCAGCTTCTAAAGCCAGAAGCTTCTAAAGCCATGACATCATTTTCTGGAATTTTCCAAGTTGTTTAAAGGCACAGTCAACTTAGTGTATGTAAACGTCTGACCCACTGGAATTGTGATACAGTGAATTATAAGTGAAATAATCTGTCTGTAAACAATTGTTGGAAAAATTACTTGTGTCATGCACAAAGTAGATGTCCTAACCGACTTGCCAAAACTATAGTTTGTTAACAAGAAATTTGTGGAGTGGTTGAAAAACGAGTTTTAATGACTACAACCTAAGTGTATGTAAACTTCCGACTTCAACTGTAGATCACTCAGGAAAGCAGGTCAGGTCACAAAACGGTTTCAATCGTGTAGTAAATGGATAATGGAGTCAAAAGATCCTTGTGAATGTCAATAAAATGCAGAAGTAGAAATGGCAATAGAAAGATGAACTGAGTTAGCATGACAATGCAAAGGTCATCGGACATCTCATTTTGTAGCCATAAACAGACAGACCTTTTCCTCATAGATGGAGTATTAGTTGTCTGTGGTGTCATGCAGAAGGTCATGGCAGGCACCTGACTGTGTCATCTCCTGCATGATGCCCATTTCCTCTATTGGTGGATTTCTCCCACATACTTACATATTATGTGACTTACAAAACAACATAAAAAATGGATAGATATTTATGTCCCACGGTTACATTACATGCTTTGTATCAATCAACTTAGGGGAATGAATTTGTATTGAAAAGGAAAATCATCCTTTTATCATAGAAACTCATCAAAACATCTACTTGCTACAACATTACAAAATGCATGTTGTAGTAGATGCATAGCACATTGAGATGAGCAGGTCCTGTGAAGTGTATTTGCACATCTTAACTCATGCTTTATCTTTTAGTACAGGAGGGCATTGTGCAACACTCTCTTTATGTAAACGGTGAGAAACAAAGCATTCAATAAACAAAGTGAAATTCAGGCTTGTGTCGCAACAACTGCCTGTTTGTTCACAGAAAGCGAGTGAATGCGTTGTTTGGTGCTTTGGCCATGATGGCATTTTGACACCCCCACAACTATAGGCTCTAGCTGAGTACTTTTCACTCTGCAGCACGGGTAAAGGGAGGCTTGCAGAAGAATGGCGGGGGGTAGGGTAGGTGACACACATGATGCTTGTTGAAAGGTCAGAGTCCGCTATGGCAGGAAGTTGGTGTGAGGCCTCAGTGTTATGTGTAGTTTGTGTACAGAGGCAATAAGAAAATAAGAAAAACAATCTCCATCTGTAGACCATGGGGGGGAGGGGGGGGCTGTGGTGTGCGATGGGAGGAGGTGAGAACAATGTTTTGTAGAGAGAAGGTGTACTAATCATATCGCAACACCTCTGCGGTTTGCTAACTATAGGCCTTTTTGAGGTCTTGCTCGAAAAGTTGGGTGTTAATGTGCAACATGTCGTTTTTCAGACCCTTGTCCACCCGGTAAAATGAAGCGCCACATGCAAACTAATATTACCTCACGAACGTAATGGTGTTCTCCGTTTTACTCTAGGGCGCCCAGAAGCCGCACAAGACACGTCAGAAGGTAGCCCGGTACCAGTTAAAACATTTAATGGAAGAATATATGGAAGTAGTTTAGTGCCAAAAAAAAAAGTTAAATATGGACAAAAAATAAATGTAATAATTTCCTGATCTCTCAGATATAGGCCAGACACTTTAAAACAAACTTATTTGTTATTTATTTTTCGACAATGTGTTTGTCCATGAATGAATCTGTTAATCAATGTATTTCTATGGGCTAATAGCAGTAATGCCAAATTCAATGTTTCATCAATTAATAAAAAAGAATGAAAAAGATACCTAAAGGGGTCATAACATTCTAAATCAAATAGCTAAATGATCCTTGGTATGACCATCTTAAAACAATTCCATATGTTAGCTTAGTAGAACGTTTTTTGTAATTACTGTAAGTGGGGCCCGGATTCTATCATTCTAATCAGATTGAAATCATATCCTAACTCCATAATGAGTCTCATTTGGTGTTCAAACATGTATTTTTAGAAATATGATATACAGTGCATTCGGAAAGTATTCAGACCCCCTGACTTTTTCCACATCTTGTTACGTTACAGCCTTATTCTAAAATTGATTAAATTGTTTTTTTCCTTCATCAATCTACACACAATGCCCCATAATGACGAAGTAAAAACTGGTTTTTAGACATTTTTGCACATCTATAATAAACAAAAACAACTGAAATATCACATTCAGACCCTTTACTCAGTACTTTGTTGAAGCACCTTTGGCAGCGATTACAGCCTCGAGTCTTCTTGGGTATGACACTACAAGCTTGGCACCCCTGTATTTGGGGAGTTTCTCACATTCTCTCTGCAGATCCTCTCAAGCTCTGTCAGGTTGGATGGGGAGCGTAGCTGCACAGCTATTTTCAGGTCTCTTCAGAGATGTTCGATTGGGTTCAAGTCCGGAATATGGCTGGGCCACTCAAAGACATTCAGACTTGTCCCGAAGCCACTCCTGCATTGTCTTGGCTGTGTGCTTAGGGTCGTTGTCCTGTTGGAAGGTGAACCTTCGCCCCAGTCTGAGGTCCTGAGCGCTCTGGAGCAGGTTTTCATCAAGGATCTCTCTGTACTTTGCTCCATTCATCTTTCCCTCGATCCTGACTAGTCTCACAGTCCCTGCCGCTGAAAAACATTCCCACAGCATGATGCTGCCACCACCATGCTTCACCGTAGAGATGGTGCCAGGTTTCCTCCAGATGTGACACTTGGTATTCAGACCAATGAGTTTAATCTTGGTTTCATCAGATCAGAGAATCTTGTTTCTCATGGTCTGAGAGTCCTTTAGGTGCCTTTTGGCA